ACTCTCAACTAGGCTTTTTTCCAGTTTCATACTGGAGCTCTGAGCAATCATACTGCTCTCTTACATACGATGCAACTCCTCTACCTTTCCTCCTGTACCTGTCCTTCCTGAACAGTTTGTACCCATCCATGACAGTGCTCCAGTCATGTGAACTGCCCCACCAAGTTTCTGTTATTCCAATCTAGGGTGACCAGACAGCAAATGTGAAAAATCGGGATGGGGTGGGGGGTAATAGGAGCCTATATAAGAAAAAGACCCAAAAATCAGGACTGTCCCTATAAAATTGGGACATCTGGTCACCCTATTCCAATCACATCATAATTCTTTGATTGTGCCAGGACTTCCAATTCTTCCTGCTTGTTTCCCAGGCTTCTTGCGTTAGTGTACATGCACCTAAGATAACTAGCCAATTGCCCTTTCTCAGTATGAATCAGGAGGCTTCCCCTCTTGTACCTTCCTCCTTGTGTTTCCTCCTGATATCCCACTTCCCCACTTAACTCTGGGCTTAAGTCACCATCCCCTGGTGAACCTAGTTTAAAGCTCTTCTCACTAGGTTAGCAAGCCTGCCTGCAAAGATGCTCTTGCCTCTCTTTGTTAGGTGAATCCCATCTCTTCCTAGCAATCCTTCTTCCCGGAATAACATCCCATGGTCAAAGAATCCAAAGCCCTCTCTCCAACACCACCTGCATAACCATGCATTCACCTCCACAATTCGCAGGTAATCTCTCCTCATATTGTTTGGGTGCTGCTGCAGCTCAGGCCAAACCATGAGGCATATTCTTTATTAGTGGTGTTTATTACCAATAGTTGTAGAATGTTATATCAATCCTTTGATACTACTGTGATGGACACCTGAGAAATACCTAAAATAGATTAGTGGATATCCCCCAAAGTCATCTCTTAGCCACTCAATACAGATAAAATCCTTTTAATTTTTCTGCATGAGTCAATTCTTCCAGCATCCTGATCATTTCTGTTCTCCTGATCTGAATTCCCTGCAATTTGTCTGGCTCTCTCTGATAATTGTAGAAATCTAGAGCTGGAAGGGACCTCAAGATAATAAGGTGGTGCCCCAAACTGAACACAATATTTCAGGACTAAAGTACTTATGTAGTCCTTACTCAAGTTAAATTTCCATAAGTGCAATAAGTATTTGACATATTGAAATAAACGTGGTCGGGGAATCAAAAGGGGAAATGGTTCCATGGTGCACTAGGGTCCAGAAGATCAAATTTAGAACTGACTTACTGTATAATGCTCCAAAGATATATATTAAAACCCTGGCTTTTTTGTTTTGTTTTTTAAAAAGGCAAATGGAAAGGCAGATACCTTGAGTTGGGCTGCTGACAAGCTACTATGATTTCATTCTCCAGACACACCCTGCTTCTTGTAAAGGATTCTGAATAGTCTAGTTCAACAAGCATTTTCCTGTCCCAGGAATTATTATAATTAGAATTACTGCTAGAGGGCATTCAAAACACTGTGCACATATTGCTATGCGACAGTGTGTATGCACTCCATATAAACAAAAGATGTGCGTGTGTATGGGGGGCAATAGATCAGCAGAGACAGTATGGAAGCGTAGCAGGGGGGTGTATGTTTTAATTATATGGAGTTAAGCAGCTGACAGGTTTCAGAGTAGCAGCCGTGTTAGTCTGTATCCGCAAAAAGAACAGGTGTACTTGTGGCACCTTAGAGACTAACAAATTTATTAGAGCATAAGCTTTCGTGGGCTACTGCTTTGCTCTAATAAATTTGTTAGTCTCTAAGGTGCCACAAGTACTCCTGTTCTTTAAGCAGCTGAATTTTTGTCAAGAAAAAGAGGCTTTGTCTGTACTTATTCCCATCATCTTGTGGGAAAATACCATGTGCTTTGTGTCAAACTCTCTCTGAACTCAACTGAAATTTCACTTGGCTCGAGGGAGCAAACACGGGAGCTCAGGTATCGCTGACAGCTGGAACGCAGAGAAGTATCGGGTTTCAAAGAAACAACGAGGACGTTCAGCTAATCTGATGGATTTGATGGCTGTGCATTTCTAACTTTAGTGAATTGCCCAATAAAACCGAACCAGAGAGGGGAGGATAAAGAGAGATAAGAGAAGGAAGATGTGTGGAATACGGTAAATGATTAATTTAGAATTTTTAACACTGAAAAGGGGCGACAGAAGCTCCCTGTTGCGCTAATGGGAAAGGAGAGGAGGCTTTTCTGAAATAGAAATTATGTCCAGCTCTGTGAAACCTTCCTTATGCCCTTAGGGAATCTGAGTCCCAGCTTCCAGCTTGTTTCCGAACGGGAAGAAATAAGGCGGATCAGGCTGGGCCAAGAAGCTGCAGCAGGTTGGGGTATTGGTTTTCTGTTCTTTCCTGTCACATGGCCCGTAATTGGATCCCTGGCTCAGCTGGGGGCTGCAGTTGCAGAGCAGATGCTGTAGGGTGTCTCTGCTATCGCTGCATTTCCCCTTCCCTGCACCCCAGCCCCCTGCACAGAAGCACCCGAGGCAGGAGGCTCCGTTCCCTGCTGCGCTGGATGAAGGAGCTGAGCCGGGACCTGCTGCCTGCCCTCGCCCATGGAGTGTCCCGCAGCCACCGTGGCACTCGCCCTCTCGGGACTGGCGCTGACTTTCTGCTTTGAGCGGCTGTATTCCGGTGAGTGGCATTTGGCAGCGCCCTGGGGGCTGCGCCCGGAATGTCCCGCACGGACTGGGAGTAGCCGAGGGACCGGGCTCTTTCACGCGGCGGCTCGGGAAAGGTCGCTGTTGTAAAGCTGGACCTGGCTGGCTGTTCTAGCTCACCCAGCGGCTCCGGAGGGCGACTTTGCCCCTTTGGGCCAGGTCGCACTGTACCTGCACCCAGGATGCGCTCAGCTCCAGGATCCCGAAGCTATTGCCCCCCGTCCCCGCAGACTTCATACAAAGCTCGGACTAATTTGTTTGCAGCTGGGAGGTATTTTTTCATAGCTATTCGCTGCACTTGGCAGATTGCAGACCCTCTAGCACTGAGTGTGGGGATTATGTAAAGAATCGGTCCGAGACAGGAGAGTCTGTATGGTGTATATACAGAGAGAGAAACAGAAATGAGAGATACTGAAAGTGCTGCATTTGGCTCTGAGGCTGAAGAAATGTTAAGTGAGCAAACGAAAGCAACATGAGTCTGCTCCCAACCCCGCACAGCTGGGGCTATCTGTAGGGAATGAGGAACATGCTGAGTGGTAGGAGCAGCTAATCCGTAGGAAATGAGACAAACGACATTAATCTAGGGCTGTGTCAGACCAGCAGAGCCAGCCTTTGGGAGGTACCATGCATTCCTCTTCCTGAAGAGTGATGGTTGAATCTGCTGTTTCTGTAAATGCTTTGTTGTGTTCAGGTTCTTATCCCACCCACCGTCCTGACATCGCTATAGCCTCAGCATTTACTAATTAGTTCTTTGTTACTCTAAGAATTAGCCAAAACATTTGTAATTTCATTGACATCAATAAGTGAAGTGTAATGTTTTAAATACCTTAAAATCTCTTTGCTTATGACGGTCAAGGGGTAAGCAAGCATTTTTCCAGCTCCCAAAGGTCTCCAACTACAAGATCCCAACACCTCAGCCTGTGGATGTTTTGTGGGATTCTCCATCGAGAAGGCTATGTATGCCCTGGGCTTCCCTTCAGGTTACATGCCTACACTTATGTCACTATATAACTTCTTTACAGGTGTGCTTGAATTGAGGAAGGCATTATAACTGATTATGTGAGGCTGGGGAGTTATGGATGCTTTTACCAGACTCCCCTCTTATTTGGGTTGGTTGGGAAAGCCTGCCTGTGGGCAGAGGGAGAGATGTCTATGTTTCGAGAAATAATTAGTGGCACATTTTTTTCTTACAGTCTGGGTCCTGCTGCACAGACAGAGTGAGGTTTCCCCCCCAAGCCCCATTTTGCCAGTGTCTTGTTAACATGAGAGAGACCTGTTCCTCAAAGGCAATAGGGCATGCAGGCTATTAGCTTCCTGTTACTGACAACTGTCAGAGCTACTGGGTACATGATGAATTTTCTGCTTAAAGGTCATTTTGCTGCAGTGTTTCATTTTCTTTTTATAATCATTCCTGGTTCTTATTCCCCACCTGAGATCACTATACTGTTTGTGCTGGCATAAAACCATCTCTACAGGAACTAACTGATGTCACATACAGCAGATAATGGGATAAATTCTACACTCACACTTGCTGCCCTTAAACTGAGTGGAGAAATTGGCTTATTTACTTTAGCTGTGAACTCATCTAACCAGCAATGACTTTGCTTTGATGCAAAGATGACTGCTAGAGTTAAGGTTACAAAATAGTTTCCATGACAGTCCCCTGTTTTTATTTGCATGCAACTTTTTCTCCCCCCTAAATCAGTTGTTAGGCTGAAATTTGGCCTCTACCTGCAGCTGATATTTTTGACTTGCAAGGAGCAGAATGTGAGCGAGTATGTTTCCAAATAACAATCATAGATCATTGAAAATATGGGATGGGCTGACAGCTGCTCAGAGGGGGAAAATCTAGCCTTTCTGAGTGCCCTTTCCTGTGGAATCATTGGTGCACAAAGCAGGTGTTTCATCCCTGAGTGGCTTGGAGTGCTACTTCATTCAAACTCCCTGAGGGGAATTGGGATCAGAAGATCCATATTATGTCAGAACTTCTTCCTGCAGGAGGACTGCATGTGAGCCAGTGGACAGTTACTTCATGGCCCGGGTGGAGGATTCTATTCCCACACACACCTTGACACATCTGCCCAACATCTGGCTTCATTCACTGGAGACTTTAAAGATGGATAGGCACACATGCAAGAGTAGGTAGTTAAGTGGGCAACTATTTAGTTATAGAAATGTACACTCTCGCTGCTGAAGCAGGAGGTTACTGTAAACTTGAGAGGATTCATAGCAAAGGGTGATGGATCTTTTAAGCACAGCAAGCTGCTTAGGTTCTGACAAAGGAGATTACAACACTTTGGCAGCTCTGCAAGTATATTAACTCTCCAGCAAGGACCTTCAGAACCTGCTGCACAAGCAAAGTCTGCAGAGTTTTTAAACTGCACCTCTTGGTTTTTATTTTTAACATTAAATCCCAGAGAAATTAAATGTGACAAAATAGGGCCTGTAAGAACAATTAGGGTTAGGAGTATAGTACTTCAAAGTCATGAAATTACACTGCAGGAGAAACATTTATGTTTGTAAGTTGGCATATGGCACATTTTTGCTAATTTATATTTCTTTTCTTTGTTAAATATAAATTTTCATACATCACTGCAGTAAATACAAAACTATAGAATACAGAGCATATGCATCATGGCTGAGCTGATGATGTGGGAGAAACCTTCACTTTGGGAATTTCATGATATGAAATACTTCATGTGACAACTGTCAGTGCAGTAACAATTGCTTTTTTAATTTAGTGCTGTTTATTTTAATTTATTATTTTTCTTCCCTTCTCTGCTCTACACAGTCTCTTCTAAGACAAACGTTTAATCCAATAATGATAAAATTTGAATCCAACCACAATGTTCAATTGAATTTGAAATTGGGATGAGTGAACTCATGCTACTTAATGTCAAGGGAAGAGCTGCATTTATTGCAGTTTAATATCCCAAGGCCAGAGGACTCAGGACTTATTCACTTCCCCCTTATATTCAGTATGAAAGCCTGTTAATGCCAAATAGAATGTGGCCTCTTGCATCTGTATTTTTAATATTCATTTTCAATTTCTTCATCTTAGGTCTATATGATTTATAAGGATGCTATCATTTCTGCCCTTCCTGTTGCCAGATTTGGCCTATTTTTCCTTTCTCTAGTCCCACTCCACTTAACAATGCTGGAATCGGCAGCTTTCTGTTTTCCTCCCACCTGAATCTCCTGATCTTTTTTGCCTTATTTTCTTACTCCTTCTCTCACAGCCTATCATCCCTGCAGTGAATGGGGAAATACTCTGTTTAGACCCAATACAGCATTTCTAACCACCTTGAGAGATGGCGAAGTATTCAACGAAGATACTTCAGCACAGCACAGCACACTTGTACATCAGCGCAAGGGGCAGGTAAATAAAAATCTACATGTTACTGGCACAATTTCCAAGGGGTCGAGTTTCCTGGTTTTCCACCACACTTGGACAGTGGAACTATATTTGAAAACAATGCTATGTTAAAAAGCAGCAAAGAGATTACTCAACTTTACCTAAAGATGTGTTCTGTGTCAAAGTGATATCTCCCCTACTTCTAGTCCAAAGAATCACAAAGCAAGTCTGAATGAATCTATCACCTTGAGGTTGAACATCAGCCAAGAGGTGCAAAACCAGAGCTGCTACAGCACTTTTTATGCATTATAGATTAAAAAACAATGTTTGCAAAATACTTCAATTTTTAATTTTAACATTTAAAATGCCTCCTGTGCTCATAGGCTAGTTTGCCTGTATCATAACACAATATGCAATGCAAAACTTTTAACCAATCCACTCATAATACGCAAATGACGTGCTGGTATTCAATCTATAAAACTGAATCTTCAAAGAAAATTATTGGTCTGGTAAAAATATTTTTAATAATGACCACAGAAGCCATATTTGTCTGTTTGATCTCCTGAAGCATCTTCTGGTTTTAATCAGTGTTCCCACATAAAATACAGTGGAAATCGACAATAACAAAACCCCTGTTCCCTATTCATAAGGCAACAACCAGGCTCTCCTCTCAGGAAGGAAAGTTGGTGTTCTGGCCCTTCAATTCCTGGGCCCTAACCTCTATTACTATTGGGATGACTTGGCATCAGTTAAATGGTTTCAGTCCTTCTCTCCATTATTTTACTGTTTCATTAAATGTTTGTTGTTTAATTATATCCTTTCAATTAAATTAGAGACTGCAACATCTGGTTAATGCCTGTAACTGTTGCCATCTGCACCTAGATAAAACTCTTTTCATTTAAGGAGGATTGCTCAAGTTCCAAATTGCAGTTTAGAAACAGTTTAGTTTGAGTGGTGGGTAACTTAAAAGGAACTTCTTCAAAGTCTCTGGGAGATGCCCTGCTTGTTGTGATGTATGCAAGAGTGATGTACAGTACCCTCTCATCCTGTTCAGCAGGAGGCTTTAGCTGCCACGTACATATACACACTTGCACATGCCGAAGGAGCCCAAGCACTAAATCTGCACTAAGTATCTGGCCACCAGTTGCCAGACCAGTCCCTCTAGAATGTAAATTGGCTCCAGAATCTCACTTTCTGGTTTTAGAAAGCTGCTGTCCCTGTGTTATTCCCTTCACAAACTTTACTGAACAATTTTAATAAGAACAAACCACCAACAAAACTGTCAATTCATCTGTGGGAAATGTAGGCTCCTACATGCTCTGACCTTGCCCCATGGAGGCTCTTAAAGGCTAATGTTATAGACATTGCATTACTATTGTACTGAAATCTAAGATGGAGATATCAGCTTCCTTACTCTCTCTCTCTCTCTCTCTCTCTTACTGCCCTCTATACCATAGCCATTGCTGACTGGCTGATGTTAAAAACCAATAAACTTGGCTGGAGCTATTCTCTACACACCCTGTTTTTTTAGAATAAGTTATCTGGCATCAATCCAGAATTCTTGGTACCTTCCTCAAATTAAAACAAAACACTATAAATTTGAATACTTTTCAATAAAA